GGTTCGATATCTTCAGCAATCTTGACATCCGAAAAGTACTTCGGAGCTCGCGATACAATGCAGGGGGCCCGAGTCACTACGTGCGGGTCACAGCCTCGCCGAGTTCCTCGGTGGCGCTGCAAGGAGCTCAGCGAAATCCGCCTTAATCTTGTAGGTGACTGTGCAGATCGCGCGGGGCACCGGCGCTGCTAAGATTAAACGGGGCGCTATTAAATGGCCCCAGGATATTTGTCCTAATCCCGATAGGTCGCGATACAATGCAGGGGGCCCGAGTCACTACGTGCGGGTCACAGCCTCGCCGAGTTCCTCGGTGGCGCTGCAAGGAGCTCAGCGAAATCCGCCTTAATCTTGTAGGTGACTGTGCAGATCGCGCGGGGCACCGGCGCTGCTAAGATTAAACGGGGCGCTATTAAATGGCCCCAGGATATTTGTCCTAATCCCGATAGGAAGTAAAACGTCAGCGGGTCGCTTGTTCCAAACAACTGACAATCAAGCTCAGTAAGGCATTGGCTCCCTGCTAGCCCGTGGGGAGAGCAGCCCTCCTCCGCAATGAAACTGACTAGGGTGCACACAAGCCTTTCCTCTCCCCGAGTCCCAGTTACTGCGCCAGTTGCAGGGAAGCCACTTCCTCTCCCCCAGCCTCCGAGCTGGTTTCCCCTCTGGGTTCCCCTTGCTTTCCTTCCCGCCTTCATGAGCTCGGAGTCTGAGTCTTGCAGGCGGCAGGGAAACGCTCCCACTTCACACTTCCTGGCTAGACAGAAGTGGGGCCCTAAAATTCCCCTCTGGAGCAAGGTGAAAGGTTGCAACCCGCTGCTGTAAACTAGTGCGTCTGGCCTGGCTTTAGAACAGAAAGCCTGGCCCACCTCCATGCCTGGGGCTGGGATGCCGGCTGAACCTGTGGGCTAGGGAAAGGGGCAGGGGTTGTTACACATGGAGCCTTGCCTAAGCTGCTCCAGATCTCAAGGAAGGGAATATTCGAACTACTTACAGCCAGGGCAGGTTCAGCAAAGGTAAATCTCTTATTACCTCCTAAGCCAGCCATCCCAGCGCTGGCTCCAATCAGTCCCCTGTACGCGCTTAAATCTGACAACTCAGCTCACCTTTTGCTCATGGTAGCATCAAACCTTAGAAGATTTGTGTTGTATTTTAATAGCATGCGAGTATTTCCAGCTCCTTCCTATCCGGCCCTGTCTCCGGGAGCACAGGGCTAAGACAGAGTCATCTGAGCCTGGGGTGCGGGTGGGGGCTATTACATTCCTGTGATGGAGCTGTTCCTTAGGGGTCTCTCTGCAGAGCTCAGCCTCCACCATTCCTGTCCCCCTAGAGAGAAGTCTTAAGAGTTCTCCTAATTGGACAGAATCTCCCCGACTCCCGCACTCCCAACTATGCTGCAAAAATTTCAGAGTTAGTCTATAACTGGACAAACTTTAAAAAACAACAAATAGTCTTGCAGCACTTCAGAGACTAACAAAACATGCAGATGGCACCAAGAGCTTTGGTGGGTACAACCCACTTCTTCAGATGAATGGAGATATGCTGCAAAAAGATAGCTTGATCTTCTAGCCTAGTGCCTTTCCAGAGACACTGCCCTTTCAGGAGTCTGATTTCTCTGGCTTACCCCGCAAGTTGCACCTCACTTAAAAAAAACCTACTTGCTTCCAAAACCAGCCATCCTACTACAAAGGTGTAGCAGGGCGAAGTTGCTGGAAATTACTTATTTAGTCTCATTTCTACCATATAATTATCAATGAGTGGAATCTACGTCTTGGACTTACATTTCAGCGCACGGTCTATAGAGCAATATAAGCAAATAATCGTATCACCTTTTCGTTCCTACTCACTTCGCTTGCTCCTTTTGGGTAGCCTAAGGTCAAACTTGGCAAGTATCCAAAATGAGCTGGATACTCCGGAGCCACCCCTGAGTACCCAGCCTGGTAGAGACCCACTGGGCTAGCTGACATGCAGGGGACCTCCTCTCTCACTGTGACAGCTGGGAAATTGAATTGTGCAGGTGGCACTTGAGGTTACTGAACAACACAAACCTGCCCTGCATTTAGGATGATCGGGGGATGCTTAATACGCCACAAGAGTCAGCTAGACACCCCCTCCCCCAGAAGCTGGGATCAGTCTGAATCTGCCATCCCGGCGCTGCGAGAGAATCCAGCTGCCCACCGGACCCGCGGCAGAGCTGGGAGGAGCCCTCGCCTCTCAGGGCGCCCCTACCTCGTTCAGCTGGTTCTCCTCGAAGCTGGCGTTCATGGAGTCGAAGGACCGTCCCCTGCGGGCTCCCTCCACGCGGCTGGAGAACATGGTGCTGGCGGAGCGCCCCGGGGCGTGCAGCACAGGATCCCGGCTCGGTGTGCGGCGCTCGGCGGCTCCCGGGCTATTTATGGGGGGCAGTGGGGCGGGGGGGCAGGAAGAGCCTTTTCCTGATCTCCTGCCAAAGCAAATGGGAAAACGGGCGCGTCACGGGCCCCCCGAGAGAGGCGCTTCCCCCCTCCCCCGGGAGCGGATCCGCCCCTGGGAGGTGCCAGTCCCCACGGGGCGGCTACCAGCGCCCGTCCGGGCAAAGGAGCGGCTTGGTGCCAGCAGGGGTCGGGCTCCCGCGTTGGGGAGAGAGACCTCCTGTTTGATCCTGCCCTTTCCAAGGCCAGCTGTGAGCGGGGGGACAGTCACTGGCAAAGCGGGGGCTGGGGCTGCTGCTGTGGGGTCCGCATTGTACCCGCCAGGCACCCCATCGACAGGCCAGAGCTGGTGAGCCCCTCGCGTTTCGCTCTGAGCGCCCAGACAGCTGAGGAGGGGGCAGCCGGGTGGGGGTGAGGAGGACTTCGCTTTAAATCCATTGAGCGATTTCTCATGTTTAAATAGATACACCAGAGACACAAACACCAAGACACACACCCAGACACACACATACTCAGACACTCAGACACACAGACACACACAGAAACACACACTCACAGACACAAACCCACACACAAACACTGAGACAGACGCACGGCTGTCAGCCAAACGCGCGGTCCCAGCTCCAGGCAAACCCCAGAGCTGTCCGGGAAGCAAGGCCTGTTCGTTTCTCTGCACCAGGGCCAGAAACACATCAAGGTGGGTTAGCATCAAGATCTGCTCCTCTCCTCTCCCCCCTCCCTCCCCCGCCCCGACTCGACAGCGCCTGAGACGCTCAGCCAAGAAGAAATAAAAGCCATTAACACAGAGACTCTCACTGGGGTTTCGATACAAACACAGAAGCGGGTCCCCGCTGCGCCAAGCGCATCCCGAGCAGGCAAAGCCAATCACAATCCCAGCAACCTGAAATTAACAGTAGTACCAGAGCGTCTCCTTGCCTTCGGATAACATAGGGCCAGCTTCTCAGCAGAGGTATCTCTCATTATCGCCTAAGCCAGCCCTCCCAGCGCTAGCTCCATGAAGTCCCACTGCGCTGTGACACTTCACAGAAATCTACCGAACCCTTTGTTTTCGAAGAAGCTTTTCTTCTTCTTCATTGTGATTGCTGCCCAGCCTAAATATTTCCTAGACGAATTGCAAGATGCAATTATACACTGCTTGTGACCCCCTTCCATTCCTGTCCACTTATATGAAACGTGAGAAAGAGAGTTTACTGTTAACTCAGATTCTGAAGGTGACAATATATCTGATTTACTAGTCATCCTAGCTAGACAGGGACAATCTGGCCCTTTTGGGGGCTGTTGAAAAATGTCATCCCACGTCTAAAACAAAAGCAACAGAGGAAATGAAAAATAATGAAAAGAAGTGCTATGAACTGTAAAGAGAATTGCAGGAGCAGAGGAAATGAATGCAAAGAAACAGCAAAACCAACCAAGCCCCAAACCAGAGGGCACCATCTGCCAAGCACACAGTACCAGGGGAGCCCTTTCTTTTCTGGGCTCCACATGTGCCAGTTGCATTCTGGTGAGAATAAGAGTGAGTTTGGGGAGGGAGGAAGGGAGATGGGGGAAGATTTTGTAATGAGATTCTCTAGGCAGGTTGGGGATGGGAAGTTCTGGTTTAAAAAACACACTTGAGAATTCATTTGTCTCACCTCAGTAACTCAAGCCACTTTTCTGGGACCAAATGTGGTGGTGGTTCCTGTGTGGACACTGGATTAGATACTTGGAAGGCTGCAGCATCCCAGGAGTCAACATGAATGAGCAGCCAGAAAGGAAGAGAAAGGAATGGGGGGGGGGGGGGGGGGGGAGGTTTTCATGCTTCCAGGGGTTTTTAATTCTCCCTGCAGCATCTGAGACCTAGACATGGAACCAAATTGACTCTTTCAGGCGTTCCCCTGCCAGGAAATGCTGCACAATCCATTCCTCATGCTCTCATCTTGCCACTGAAGATTTGCTCACTGTTTTGCTACCCTTCACGTCTCTTTTAAGCTGCCCTCTTTTAAACATAAGCTTTGATTTTCCTCACACTAACTTTGAACACAGCATAATAATTAGATCTAGAGAGAATACATTATTATTTTGGGTTCTCTCCCTCTCCCCCAGGGGTTCCTATAAATCCTTCTCTTACCACCTTGCTAACTGAATGCCGAATGCACCTCGCCTAAGCACTCCTAGAATGGTTGGGTTTTTCCCCAAAAAAATCCCTAAAATTTGTGAAAAGTTTTAAATTGTGTGTGTGGAGAAGGGAGTAAGGCTATGGGTTTTCAACAGTTCTCCTGATCAGGGCACAGAAGACCAATATCAGCCTGTCTAAATATGTTTGGAGCTTGATTTCCATGACAAAGGCTTGAAGTCTACTGGAATCTGGAGTTTACCCAAGGCCTGTTGGGCTATTGTCGGTACAGGAACCTGTTGGGTTCCAAACCTCCACAAAAGTGGCATGATGGCAGCTGTACTGTCATTGTAGTGAAGGAGAGTGGAGAATAATGGGGAGTTGCTGGAACCCGTCACTACTACATGTAAGAGCCTAGGCTTATCTTTCCTTCAAATCGATATCCCTTACTCTTGCCAGTAGTTGACTTCAAAAGCAGAGGTGGAGCATCTTTCTTGGGTTGAGGGCACTAACAAAAATCAGTCAGGGGCTCACACAAGTGAGAAGCAAAGAAAAAAACCCTCACTGGCATGGGGCCCCAACTAAGAAGGAGAAAGACACTCCCCACATTCCCCTTACACATCAGAACCTGGGGGGGGGGGGCAGTCTCCTAGTTTTTGTGTGCTCCAGCTCTGTGGTGCGGTAGCAGGAGGACTGGAATGCATGGGCTCCCCAATGCAAGGGGGGCCCTAAGCCTCAGGGGCCGGATCCTGGTTCACCACCGTTGTTCAAAAGGATCCTGGTAGTATACCTAGTCATCTGGCTATTTCCATGGGATCATTCCCATCACCAGTGGCACAATCTGTGTGCTAGAGAAGGAACCCTATTCCTACCCCACTAACTGTCTTTGCATGCACAGCTTCCCAAGCTTGAAGAATAAGCAGCAGGGATTAATAACAGTGAGCACCAAAAGAAGAACTGCTGTTCAGATCTGAAAGCTGTTTGATCCCAGAAAAATAAAACATAGTAAAAAAAAAATCACAACTGATTGATTTCACTTTGCAAAATATCTAGTCTATCTATCCATCTATCCACCCATCCAGTAAATGTGTGCTTAGGGCACGGAGCTCTCCAAACAGTGAATAACCATGTCTATCCCATATGTGTTGAAAAATCTAGATACAAAGGGTTTTCCTTGTGTTCTCCAAATCTTGTTCTTGTTCAAATAAAGAAGTTTACGGTTTAGAGTGATGAAGTGTTTTTGTTAAATTTTCTTTCTGTTCAGGGCTGGTGGCAAGCACATTGTGTGGGGTGCTGAAAAACTACAGCTGTTGAACACAAACGGGGAGGAGCTGCTTTTTGTTAGGTGCTGAAATGGATCCTCCATGACAGATCACACCTATCTGTATTTCTAAGTTCTTCATACAGCCATTTTACCAACAGAAGGGATTACCAGAAACCAATGCATTCACCTTTCAGAAAAACACCTGTGTAGACACAGCCTGTATGTATGAACATAAGAATGGCCACACTGGGTTAGACCAACTAGGCCTTTAACTCTGAGTCCAGTTTCTGACAGTGGCCAATGGCAGACGCGCCAGACAGAATGAACAGAACAGAGCAATTAATTGAGTGATCCAAATCCTGTTGCTTCTGGCAGTTGGAGGTTAGGGACACCCAGAGTGTGGGGTTGTATTCCTGGCCATCTTGGGGTATGTCTACACTGCCACCCTAGTTCAAACTAGGGTGGCTAAGGTAGGCATTCGAACTTGCAAATGAAGCCCGTGATTTAAATATCCCGGGCTTCACTTGCATGTTACCGGACAGGTGCCATTTTTAAATGCCCGTAGTTCGAACTACCTGCCCGTGGCTACACGCGGCACGGACTAGGTAGTTCGAATTAAAGCTCCTAATTTGAACTACCGTTATTCTTCCTGCAAAGAGGTTTAAATCCCGGGCTTCATTTGCAAGTTCGAATGCCTACATTAGCCACCCTAGTTCAAACTAGGGTGACAGTGTCGACATACCCTTGGCTAATAGCCATTGATGGACCTGCCCTCCAGGAACCTTACTCATTCGTTTATGAACCCAGTTATAGTTTTGGTTGTCACAAAAGCCCATGGCAATGAGTTCTGCATGCTGACTGTGCATTGTGGGAGATGGTCCATCCTTTTGTTAGATTTAAACCTGCCTATTCATTTCATTGGGTGACCCTTGCTTCGTGTGTTATGTGAAGGGATAGAGAGCACTTCCTTATTCACTTTAACGATTTTATAGCCCTCTCACATACTCATCCCAGGCATCTCTTTTTCTAAGTGGAACAGTCCCAGTCTTTTTACTCTTTCCTCCTTTGGAAGCTGTTCCATATCCCTCATTGTATTTGTGGCCATTTTTTGCCCTTTTTCCAATTCAAATATATCTTTTTTGAGATTAAGTGAGAAGTACATGGCGCATTCAAGCTGTGCATATACAATGTATTAATACAGTGGTGTTATGATATTTTTTGTTCTATTTTCTATCCCTTCCTAATGGTTCCTGACATCTTGTTAACACTTTTGCCTGCTGCTAGCAATTGTGCCAATATTTTAAAGGAACTATCCACTGTAACCCCAAAAATCTCTTTCCTGAGTGGTAATAGCTCATTTTAACCCCATCATTTTGCATATATATTTGGGATTACATTTTCTAATGTGTATTTCTTTGCATTTATTAATATTCAATTTCATCTGCTTTTTTGTCCCCTAAGTTCAGTGAGATCCATTTTTAACTCACTGCAGTAAGCTTGGGACTGAACTATCTTGAGTCATTTTGTGAAATGTTACCACCTCCATTGTTCACCCCCTTTTCTAGAACATTTAGGAATATGTTGAAAAGAACAAAGCAGGTCCTTAGAGGATCCCATTACTTACTTCTCCACACTGTGAACACTGGCCATTTATTCCTACCCATTGTTTCCTATCTTTTAACCAGTTACTGAACCATGAGTGGATCTCCCCGCTTATGACTATTTCAATTACTTAAGAACTTTTGATGAGGGACCTTTTCAAAGGCTGTCTGAAAGTCCAAGCACAATATACTGATTGGCTCACCATTGTCTACCTGCTTGTTGACTCCCTCAAAGATTTTTCTAAGAACTTCCATGGCCAAATCATCAGCTGCTATAAATTATCAAAACTGCACAAAAGTCAATGGTTTTGCTGTATTAAAGCCATTATACTAGCTGAGGATCTGACCCCTCAGTATTTTGCAAATATCCTGCAAAGTACAGATTGTAAATTACTTCCTGCAATTTACAATTTTGGTGGATATAAACTGGATCTATTCCATCATCAGTTTCTGCACTGGATGAAATCTAACTACTTCATTCAAGAATTTGTGAAACACATCACTCAGCGCATAGTCAATCTGTGGAACTCCTTGCCAGAGGATGTGGTGAAGGCTAGGACTTTTAACAGGGTTCAAAAAAGAGCTAGATAAATTAGGAGGTTAGGTCCATCAATAGCTATTAGCTAGGATAGGTAGGAATGGTGTCCCTAGCCTCTGTTTCGCCAGAGGTGGGTGTGAGGGGAGGGATCAAGTGAGGATTACCTATTGTGTTCCCTCCTTCT